TTTTTTTTTTTTTTTTTTTTTTAAATTGTTTGACTCTAATGGCCTAGTTGTTGTTGTTTTTTTGTTTTTTTTTTAAGTTTTAATTTGCTTGGGGTTCACTGAGCCTTTTAATCTGTGAATTGATTCTTTTTTTTTTTAATCAGTTTTAGAAACATCTTGCCGTTATCTCTTCAGATCTTGTTTCTTTCCATTCTTTCCCTTCTGGGAGTATCAAGATCATCCATGGATTTTCATTTAGTTTTCAGACTTTGGACTGCACGTTCAGACTTTGGACTACATTCAGGATGTCTGTCTGGCCCCATTCTGTTTCTGGTTTTGTTTCAGATTTTTTTCTCTTTGCTCAGTTTGGAAACTTTCTATTGGCCAGTTTTCAGATCCACTACGGCTTTCTGCTGCTTCTAGCTTTTGTTAATTCCATCAATGAGTTCTTAATATCCGATGTTGTGTTATTCGGTTCTAGACAGTTTCTTTTTTAATCGATTTCAGTTCCCTTTTGAAATTCTTTACATTCTTATCCATTTTGTCTCTCTCTTTATATTTCCTGGGTATTAAGCATAGTTGTTATAAAATAACTTGTGTGTAAGAAGAGAAAGGGTTTCAAGGTAACATCAGCTATAAATGTATTAAGGACTAATTGAATTAAGTGTGGTTCAAGAAAGGTGTGCATGAAAAATGGAGACATGTGTAGGCTTTACTTTCGACTGTCATCTGTAGCTTAATAACAACTTTTTTCCTGTGGTGGTTGACTCTTAAATGTTTTTCAATTCTTCGAGCAATGGAATTGAGCCTTAGAAGGAGAAGCAGCACTCCAGGAGCCAGGGTCTGCACAGGAAATCAGAGGTGTAGAGCTAGATCATTCTGCTGTTCTTACAAAATGCTTTACTTGTACCACTTTTCAGTTAGATGCATTGTTCTGTTTGTCTTTATTTCCTTGCCATTTCACTGCAGTTGTTCTGATACAGGGATGTAGAGAAGTACCTAGAATTGCCTTTGAGGTCTGGGTTACTGTTTAATAGGTTTTTATTGCAGAAAACGTTTTCTCACTCTTTTTCTTCATGGCAGGTAAAAGCAGTTCGTATTAGTTTTGTGAATATTACTTTTTCTTTCTGCTGTTAAAACCCAATCAACTTTTCTCATTTAAAAAGGCAAAAATATATATAAGTAACTCCAAATTCACTTGAGGAAGCATAGATCGAGTTTAATTCTGCCTTGAATGTCAGCAGTGTGTCTTGACCTTAGTATTGACCTAGCCTTTAATTAAGATCAAAGATAAGTAGCCATTTCCAGCCTAGAGTAACACCTTCTGCTGAGTCATAATTTTCTTAAATGTTTAAAAATAATCATTTGTTTTCCTCTGAAGGTTCTAAGGCCCAGCAGCTTCTGCAAGGACTGCAAGCCACGGATGAAAGTCAGCAACTTCAGGCAGTTATTGAAATGTGTCAGTTATTGGTCATGGGGAATGAGGAGACACTGGGAGGGTTTCCTGTCAAGAGTGTTGTTCCAGCTTTGGTAAGCATGGAGTTCCCCCTCGCTTTACCTCAGTCATTCTCCAGTGGTGCCGTTTTCACTGAATGCATGACTATTGTCATTATGAATTTTAAAACACTATGAGATAGGAGAGAATGGCTTGATGTTTTCATTTCATGCTTACGTTATGAGTGATTGCTAATGATGAAATTAGTAAATTTTCTTAAACATTTCTTCAGGAGTAGCCACCTCAGCTTTGACACTTAAATGACTGGCTCTTTATTTTAGTTGTTAGACCCCTAAGTAATACCCTGACTCTTAACTATGCAAAAATTTACGTGCTTTCTCTCTTAACCTGGTGATACATGGGGCAGTAGTAAGAAGCTCACTTGCTTTTGTCTTTGTGGGCCAGAACGTTTTCATGTTTGATAATTGTGTACAAGGCAGAGCAATCAAGCCAGATGCTATGTGGATCCTTCCAGCTTAAAAGGTTTTATGTTGTGGCCCACCCCCTAAAAAAAACAGTACAAAACAATAAAAACAACCCTTTTAATGGCTTGTCAACACAGTTTTGAGTTGATATTTGGAAATAATTATTAATATTTAATTGCTTAATAAATTTTTGAAAATAATGGGAAGAGAAATTGCCATTACCAAATGTAGACACTTTTAGCTTCATATGACATTTAACTAGTGGCTTGGTAATTTTCTTAGTCCAAAATTAAAGAAATTGGCAATAATTTAAGATTAAGTTTTAACTTTGAGTCAAATATTAACCAAAGTCTAAAACAAACATGATTACATTCATAGCACATTTTATCTTGGAAGTTAAAAATAAATGTCACGTAAGTTCTTTTGTACATATCCAATACAGTTGACAAAAAAGAAATTACGGTGGTACATCAAATTATCTCATTTGAGCATATTATCAAATTAGGATACGTATTGGGGAGAGAGCTGAGAGAAAACCTGTCAGACACAAGATGACATAGTCTTTAGTCTTTGTTCTGCTATTCCTACTTGTTGGATGACTTGGCTCTGGCAGCTGGTGGCAAAGGATAGACCAGTTTCTTCACCTTCTGCCACTTAGACCTGCAGGTAACGGAAGCCAGCTCTCCAGTTTTGTCAGTTCCATTCTAGTAAAGTTTTGCGTGTTGCTTTCTGAATGTTTCATGCAAGTGGTTTAAACGCCTTTGTGCTTTTGGATTGTGCCTGTGTTAATACTCATTCTCAAATTACTGATCTATTCAGTAGCTGGCTTCTGTGATTGGCATTAAACTTTCTTGTTAAAGTTGGTCATTAAAAATAAGTAACAACAAAGAACTAGACTTACCTTATATAGTCTATTCTTTAAAAGGCAGTTTTTATTAGTTAAATAAAGAAGTCATTAAATCTAGGCAAAAATGTTAACATGTAATTCGATTTACTTAATTTGCTGGTTGTTGATTCGATTTAAGTACTCAATAGACCTTCACAAGTCAACTCATGCTGTTAATAATGGCTGCTGTTAGTGAGCTGTCCAGATTTATCCTTTATCACAATTATTGTCAGTATGTATCTGTCCATCACCACAAACTTGAATGATCAAAAATAGTTATTTTTGGTAAAGGGCATCTGTTTACAGCACTCCTTCCCCAGTGTGGCCTTAGAAGGGTCATTCCACTTTAAAAATTGGGGAACTTAATACTTTTTCTATTAATATGACAACCCTTTTCAATTTAGAATAGGTGTTTTAAATGGCTGATTGTAGATTATTGGGACATAGAGTGCTATTGGACCCTGAAAGTGGTTGTGTGGGTATATTTATGTGTGTGTTGTCTTTAAACAAAATAATATTCTGAGGACGCCACCCAGTGTAATGTATAGCTGCTTAGGTGAGAAGCTATGTGTTGTGTTAGAATAGCCGATGTGTGTTGTTATAGTTATGCATTTAATTGAAGGATACTTTACAGCTAAATTCAGTGTATTTACATTATCTATTGAACTAGAAGACATCGAATGACTCTCTGAATAGGAAATTTCGTTGGTAATTCTTGGCTACGTCAGGAGGATAGAAAACTTAGAGTCTTTGCATTCCTTTGTTTAAAAAATATGACTGAAATCTGCTTAACATCTTTTCCATACACACACACACAAAAATAAAATCATAGGTTTAGATTCACTAATGCATATGTAGAATAATTATATTACTATGGCTTTTAATTAGCTCATAATCTATGATATGATGAATCTTGTGTTTAAATGCTCTACTGCATGCTGGTGGTACACAGTATATTTTACAGCTGGTTTAAATGGTGCTTTTCTCAACTTTTAGAGAGGCTTTTTCACAAGCATTTAAGCTTTGATCCTGAATCGGTGCTGACGTTTGTTAATGCAACAAATATTAGGACATTGCTGGTCCTCTGAATTTATGTAGCAAGTGCTTACTGACACCTAATAAGTCCTTGGTGATGTGGTATGTATGAGCTTCTGAGGGAGGGGATTAAAAACCAAACACCTATTGCCATGGGGTCGATTCTGACTCATGGTGACTTTATAGGACAGGGTAGAGCTGCCCCATAGGGTTTCCAAGGCTGTAATCTTTACAGAAGCTGACTGCCACATCTTTCTCCCGTGGAGCAGCTGGTGGGTTCAAACTGCTGACCTTTCAGTTAGCAGCCGAGTACTTAGCCACTAAACCACCAGGGTCCCGGGTTAGAGCTGTGAAAAGAGTTGGTTGTAAACAACAGGAAGACTTTTTTTTTTTTTGACCTGGTTCATGAGGTGATGGTTATCTGGTTAAGTTCCTGAGTCAGAGCTACAGTGTGTAAGTAATGCTATCCTAAATATAATCAATTCTTGTGTACCCATGCTAGTTTTATCTTATTATTTTTATATGGTAGAAGTTGTGAATGATTCTTTCCATTTCATTTGAAGTGGAAGACCAAGTAATACTTCTAGGATTTTTCTCTAAGAATATAGCTTCTAATATTTTGTTATAATCTTTTTGAACAGATAACATTACTGCAGATGGAGCATAATTTTGATATTGTAAGTATATACGGTATTATTTAAAGCACTCCAAATTTAAATCTTGAGTTTTTTATTCAGCAGAAAAATGTATTCTTGTTTTCTAGATGAACCATGCTTGTCGAGCCTTAACTTACATGATGGAAGCACTTCCTAGATCGTCTGCAGTCGTAGTGGATGCTATTCCTGTCTTTTTAGAAAAGGTACTCCTACCTTTGCCTAACTTGTTCAGAAGCAGGCATAGGGAAATCAAGATTAGAACTCTTGCATTCTAAATTCTGGAGTAGAATAGCACATTATAAGGCCACCTTGAAAGATATTTTTTAGCATCCATTCTCTAAGTAACGTATATTTTTTTAGCCATGATTCCAGAAACAAACTCATGTTCAGCAGACCAATAGCTTAACGTTAAAGATAAGTAATATCTTTATAAATATAAATAATCATTTATAAAATCAACCCGTTTTATAATTCTTAATAATAGCAATTACCACATTAATATAACATCTTTCAGAGAAGAACTTAAAGCACTTGATTACAAATAATCTCTGTATTTCTAGAAAACATCCTAATGTGGTTGATAGCTGTCCATACCCTCATTTACAGCTGAGCAGGCTGAGACAGACAGGGTGCCTTGCTTAAGGTCTTGAAGTGAGTCAGCGGAGAAGGAAGTTTTTTCTTTTGGTCTGTTATGCTTAAGGGCCTTTTTCTCTTTTAATGCCAAATAAAATTTGTATTAGCTGATAAACTTGGAATTTGGTATAAGGTTTAAAACCTGATTTAAAAAATTCTTTGATATAAAACAACCTATCTTTTAAATATGAAGATTTAAAGTTATGTAGTTCGATTTCACTTATTCTCCATATAAGCCTATTTTTCTTATCTTAAGACAGTGTAAAGTAGTTGGGAGGAAACTATATTGGCTGTCCATTATGTCTTAAATTCATAAATTACTGGTCTCCTGTAGTGGGTTTCATATTAGAGGCAGTATAGATGGATGGAAATTGGAAGAAAACTCCATTCATTCATGTAGAAGATAAGCTACTAGAAGAGAACTGGAATGATAATCGTAACTGCTTGTATGTTCCCAGCTGCAGGTTATTCAGTGTATTGATGTGGCAGAGCAGGCCTTGACTGCCTTGGAGATGTTGTCACGTAGACACAGTAAAGCCATTCTACAGGCGGTAAGTGTTGTTGCCAAAGGACCGTTATTGTTAGGGTTGGTTTTTAGATCCACTTCTGGACTAACCACTAGATTGCATTCTCTGTAAAGTATACACAGGGTTTCCAAAGTAAAGTGTTAGACTTTCTCATAGTTAATGTTTTTTTTATTGCTGATAAGGGATTTCCTCACTTCAACGGTTTTCTGTGTTTTAGGGTGGTTTGGCAGACTGCTTGCTGTATCTAGAGTTCTTCAGCATAAATGCCCAAAGAAATGCACTAGCCATTGCAGCCAACTGCTGCCAGAGCATCACGCCAGACGAATTTCACTTTGTGGCAGATTCCCTCCCATTGCTTACCCAAAGGTTAACCCATCAGGTAAAACATTAACCAATTTTGTGTGTCATCAGACACTTTTATTATTTTTTTAAAATGACAATTTCAATTAGTGTGCTAAATCTTCCAGTTTGATACGTAAATTGTTCTCGTCCATGTGGCTTTCCTTGTTATCCAGTCATGTACCATATTTAGGTTATTTTATAAAATTTTGGTGTATTTACCCAAATGAACAGTAATTCATATGTTTGCTATCTTCAACTATTTTGTCTTTAAGGGATGAATTTGTTATTTCATTAGACATTAAGTGTTTATTATGTGATATGATCAGAATTTCATTTTGGAAAGATGCTCCTTTGAAAGACATTGGGATAGGCAGAGAGGAGTAGGAAGGTATGAATTCAGACCAGATGTGAGACGAGACTGTGTTCCAAAAAGAAGTGTTGAGGAAAATGTAGACTGCGGCTTCATGGGGTTGTGAAGAACCCAAGAGGTAGACTCATTAGGCCTAGTGATGTAGTATGAGAAGCAGAGTATATGGAGTCTAGGGTGGAGGACAGAATGTGAGCTAAACTTCAAGGTTATAGAGAAACTGACCTCTCTTTTTAGACATAAGTTAATGTTTTGAAGTGATGTTACTTGAGAGATTTCCAGAAATTTGGCTTTAAAATCATGCCTATGACCTTTACAAAGCTGTGTTTAAACCTTCATGGCAGAGTTTAGTACATAAGAGTTCATACGATAGAGAAAAATAATAAATTATCATTGAATCACCCTGAAGTATTTCACCTCTAAGAAGATCAAGACACTGTAGTGCCATTTATTTTTTCTTTAATTTGCTTGTCTATTTTTTAATTAGTTGGCTGAGATAACCTTTCCTTTCCTAGAAGTATGTTCTCTAGTTAACTCTGATATCAGTACCACATGATACCCATAACTGGATATCATGTAGTATCAGTAGTAGTTAGCCACTATTATTTTAGCACTCTTTATAGACTTTAGTGGCAGTGAGGGTGCCGGGCTTTTATAATGCCCCAATTCTCCTTTTTTGCAGAAACAAATCTAGTTTTTATATAACCACAAGGTCTATCAAAATACTAGTCAAGCCATTAAAATATTCTTTTTGTTCTTATTTATGAGGGTTGTTTGAAATGTTTTCTCAGTGAGGCTACTTAATGGTATCTCTAAATTGTTTTCATAATGAATATCACAAGTCTACATCTAGCATCGAAGAAGAGTTGTTGTTAGGTACCGTTGAGTTGATATTCAACTGATAACGACACCATGTGTAGGATGTTTATTTTTATTTCTTACAATTTTTGTTTAGGTACTAAGATTATATAAGCACAAAAACTGTTTCTCCTTTCTGTTATTTGCTTTTATCTATTGGGGCCTTCATGGAGGAGAGAGGTTATCCTGTCTTTCCGTGGATTCTCTTTACTTTGAAATCTTGGTATTATCAACTGTATGTTGCTTAGGCTCCTTTGCATTTTCAAAGCTCACATCTACTAATTAAGCCAGCCTTGAAGAGTTTGGGATTAGGAAGATTAGTAGTGAGTATGACATTGAACATGTTTTATATTAATAAACTTTTTCCTTTCTAAAAAATAGGACAAAAAATCAGTAGAAAGCACTTGCCTTTGTTTTGCACGTCTAGTGGACAACTTCCAACATGAGGAGGTGAGCATTTCCTCTTTGTTGATATTTCATGAAGTTGTTAAATTGCTGAATCACAATGTAACAATTTCTGTTTTTCTTATTTTCTTGAAGAATTTGCTCCAGCAGGTTGCCTCCAAAGATCTGCTTACAAATGTTCAACAACTATTGGTAGTGACTCCACCAATTTTAAGTTCTGGGATGTTTATAATGGTGGTTCGCATGTTTTCTCTGATGTGTTCCAACTGTCCAACTCTAGCCGTTCAACTTATGAAGCAAAGTAAGTGCTATTTGATTATCTTACCTCAAGCAGGAAAAGCAGCTTGCTTTATCTCCATTACCACGTACAGTCAGCATAAGTGAAGCAAGTAGAAGCAGTTATTAACATCGTTGTTAGGTGTCGTCGAGTCGGTTTTGACTCATAGTGACTTCATGTGACAGAGTGGAACTGTCACATAGAGTTTCCTAGGCTGTAATCTTTATGGGAGCAGATAACCAGGTCTTTCTCCCACGGAGCTGCTGGTGGGTTCGCACTGCCAACCTTTTGGGTAGCAGCCAAGTATTTAACCGTTGTACCACTGGGGGTGCTGGATAATAAAGAAGAAAAATGTTGACTTGTAATAAATTTGTGTTGGGATAATAAATTAATGCTTATAACATACAAATTTAAAAGCATATAATATGTTAAAACATTACCTTTCATGGTTCTAGGACTAAAGATTGAAGGCCATTACTTTCAGTGCAGTGTTAATTACATAATGATGCTTCATTAGAAGAATTCTGAGTTTCTCTGTCACCAGTAACCACTTCATATGTAGTTCCTTCTGCGCATGTTAGCATTTCTAGCCATTTATCATATCTAGAATCCCTTTTTCCCTCAAAAAGATGAGAACTTACTTCCACAGCGGAACGTCTCTGATCTTGGCTAATTCTGTATATTTAAACTTTTCCCAGCCTGACCCAGTGTGCAGAAAATAAAATTTTATTGCACTGCTGTTGCAGTTTATACCATTCCTCTCTTAAACCTTAGGCTTCACAAGTTAGTGTCGCAGAATGGGGCTTCAGAAAACATCTGTATGTTATGATTATTTCTGGTAGAGTACTGATCACTTTTGTACTGAGCACCTATAATTATGGGTAATTTCATACCCACAGTTCTAATCTCTGAGGATATTACCTTGTGAGTCAATGATACCCACGTAGAAAATAGCCTTTGTTCCCACGGCCTCAGAGGTAATATTAAGCAGTATTATAGTACTTTTGTTTTTGGGAAACTAAATTTTATTTTCTTGCATTTCTTCTGAATTAGTGTATTGGCACAGAATGTTGTAGAAGAACAGCATTGTGGTGGCTTGTTGAAAAGGTTCCTCTTAAACCATTTAGTCTTTCCCCAACTTGATATTCCAGAGAACGCTATTCTGCATGAGCCGTGGTTGAAGTACTCCTTGCCCAAATAAGTTTGGGAAAGGCTTAACTCCTTCTTGCATAGTGACAATGGACTTTGTTTACTAAAATCCCTAGGAGCCCTGGTGGCGTAGTGGTTAAGCCTTTGCCTTAGGCTGCTAACTGAAAGGTTGGCGGTTCGAACCCACCAGCCTCTCTGTGGGAGGAAGATGTGATAGTCTGCTTGCTTAAAGATTTACAGCCTTGGAAGCCCTATGGGTCAGGGCAGTTCTACTCTGTCCTGTACTGTCGCTGTGAGTTGGAATTGACTCAACAGCAATGGGGATGTGTGTGAGGAGCCCTTTGAACTTTGCTTAGGCCAACATTTCCTGGAGTTTGAATATAGAATATCTCTTTAGCCTGTGGGACAGCATGTCCTTAAATACTAGTTTGGGAAATTGCTGCCTTACTTTTGTTTAACATTTTGGGTATTTTTCTTTTAATATGGTGAATGTTTTCACCTCTTTTGAATACTGAGTGTGCCACATGTTGATCATGTGAAGGCAGCTACGTGTGTAATACTTCTTTCTACAACAGTATCACCAAAGAAACATGCACCTTTTCTGTTTCTCTCCATTTCATTGCCATCCTCTGGTCTCTAAAACAGAGTTAAAGAATCCTAACGATGTATCATTGCCATGTATTCACACTTCATAGGGAACTTGTCAACATTGTTCATTTTCAAGACATTAGAATTTTTTTAAATCTCTATTTGTGACATTTCTGAGAAGCAGAGATTTAAGTGTCTACAACTCTGCTCAAATCCATGGTGAATAATTGTCTTGGTAACAGAACTTATTATGGATGAGACATTCCAAGCAAATGTGTAAGTATATGTATATTTGCACATGTATAATATTACAGAAGCACACACGCACCACCACCAACAAAGACCCAGCTCTGTCTCTAGGTTTCCGCTGTGGAATAAGCCTGTGGAGACCCCAGACTGTCCTCCACTCCCAGCGACAGCACGTCAGAGTGGTTTTCATGCAAATTCGTCCATAAACCGGCGTCTTCTGGGAATGGAAACTAACGCTAGAGACTATTTTAACGGTCTTTATATTAAGTTCGCATGTTAAATGTCATGTAAGGTAATGAGCTTCCTAATAATCACCATATCGTTAAGATTCATATGCTTTTAACGGCTACATTTTATCCTATTGGCCACACGTTATCAATATATTTGAATTTTAAGATATATGATGTATTTGAGTTGATTAAAGAATATGTTGCATGCGATTTTGTACAAAGCACTGTGCTCCTCAAGGAAAGCAGTAAAAGATTCCTGAAGTCTCTAGGGGGAGACTGAAGGATTTCTGATCAGGAGCCCAGTTAGAAGGTTTGAACTGAAGACTACAGTCCTTAGAAAGAAATTGTTAAACTCTTCATAAAATTTGTTTTAAGTTTTTATTAAAACTCATTTGAATTTTTATTTTAATTTCTGTATTATGTTTAATAATAGAAAATAATCCTGATCGTTTTTCCCCTACGGAATGGTTGCCTTTTAAATTAGGAACTATACCTCGTTTAATGGGTTTTTGTGGTGGTTGTTGTTGGTTTTACAGACATTGCAGAAACACTTCACTTCCTCCTGTGTGGTGCCTCCAATGGAAGTTGTCAGGAACAGATTGATCTTGTTCCCCGGAGTCCTCAAGAACTGTATGAACTGACATCTCTGATTTGGTAAAGATTGGGCTCATAATAACAATAATAATAACTTTGTGGTTCATGTGAGATGTATTTTAGAGACTTTATTACTCACAGTTCAGGAAGTTAAACTTACTAAAATAATGGCACTTTTTTTTTCCAGCGAACTTATGCCATGTTTGCCAAAGGAAGGCATTTTTGCAGTTGATACCATGCTGAAGAAGGGAAATGCACAGAACACAGATGGTGCGATATGGCAGTGGCGCGATGACCGGGGCCTCTGGCATCCCTATAACAGGATTGATAGCCGGATAATTGAGGTAGTAGTTTCATCGTACCATTCAAATGAGTGTATTATGGTGGAGAGTGGGCGAAGGGATGGAGTTGGGGGGGTGGGTATGTGTACCTAAATGTGCTCAATTTTGAATTAACTCAAGATTTTTCTCATTTTGTCTCCTGAGAACAAGGTCCTCATTTCTGTTCAGGTCAGAAAACATGATGTTGTAGTCCTGCTTCTGCTGCTAACTACCAGATTGACTTGGAGCAAGTAATTTAAGTTCTTTGTTCCACAGTTTCCTCATTCTGAAAGGAAACACTGGTGCAGTTAGACACTATGTTGCTAAAAATTACCCTTTCTATCTCCCATCCAAAAGAAATGTGCCACATGTAAAAATTCACATATGAATAGCTTCTTTTCAATATTTTTTAAGAGAAAAACATGGAAACAACTTAAATGTAAATGATTAAGTAAACTGTGGTATAGACATAGGCTCGTATTTAACCCTGACATTAATGAAATGAATTTTAGTGACATAAATGGGATAGGAGAAATACAAAACTTTGTGAACCTTCGGGAATTTAGCCAGCTTAAGAGAAAGGAACAATAATACAAAGGAGAAAAATACACCAAAATATTAATAGTGATTTTTCCTTGACTGTCTTAGATGTGTGATTTTTATTCTTATTCCCATACTTTCGTTTTTAAGTTTACACTGAAGTATTTTTTTTTTTAAATTCTGATTAGCAAAATATTTGCCCTCGTTTAGGAAGTGTTGGTTATTGTATTATTTGAGATGCAATGCATCATTTATGTATATTTTCAGTACATCACATGCCTGTGAATCTTATATTCTCTGATTTCAGCATTTGGTATTTGAATATGTTTAGAAGATCACATTTGTTGTGTAGACATTCTTCTTTGTTTTTTACCAGTTAGTTTCTAAAAATGAATTTTTGAAAAACTCTTAAATCATTGATTGATCTTATAAAACCAAAATTCTTATGGAAAAAATCTAAATTCAGTTACTTTTTTGAGGAAATTAACTTTGGTCTTTTGTGCGTTGTTAGCCCTAACACGTAAGCAGGCCTAATACAGGGTCCGTATGAGTCGGAACCGACTCTTCGGCACCTAACAACAGCAACAATATGGAAGTGGTTAAGTGTTCAGCTGCTAACTGAAAGGTCAACGGTTTGAACCTTCCCAGCAGCTCTGCGGGAGGAAAACCTGGCTATCTGCCTTGGAAATCTTATGGGACATTGCTGCTGTGTCCTGTAGGATCACTATGAGTTGGGATCAGCTCGATGGCAGTGGTTTGGATTTTGTTTTTAATTGTAAATATAGAAGTGGCAGTATATATGCAGGCCTGTGCTAAGGGTCATGGTCTCTAATTCTAAGCGTTCTTCTTTTTAGTGTTTTCTCAATAATTGCATTTTCACCATTAGTTTACTTTCTTGTATTTCCTGAGTCCTGTCTTCTACATAGCCTAGGAATTCCATAGTTTGGACTTTGAATGGAAATGAATATTCTGTCACTTTTATAGGTTATCTAAAATCAAGCAGTGTTAATCAAATTGCCTTGAGTTAGATATGTACTGTGTAGTGCATGCACCATCTGGGGATTACTGCCCGAGTTCCCAGTTGTATCCTTTTCAATCTTAGAGCATCATTTAAATGCAAAATTCTTCGTCTACCTAAGGCCAAAATACTTTTATAGGGTCATTCATTTAAAGGAGAACTTTGGTGAGTTGCTAAAAACCTATCCTGTAATAACTTTTCTAGTCTAAGAAAAGAATACTAAGATGTATGGATAACAATTTTTTCTTTCCATCAGTAATGCCTTAAAAACTTTCTGAGTACAGATGGCGTCTTCTTGGTGTGAGTGATGCTGCTTGACTGGATCTTCCATGAGGATTTTACCTATATTTTTGTCTCACAGGCCCTGATAGGGCTAATGTATATCTGTGTCTAATTAAAATGATCTGTTGAATGAGTTTTGTCATATCCACACTACTAAATATTCCATATTCTGTTATGTCACCATCAATGTGGAGGTTAGCGTTTGTGGAGGGTCCCCGCTGTATCTTAAGTTAATTAGTTTCTCCATGTTTATATTCAAGGTTTCTCTCTCTTTGCTCTCAGGCAGCCCATCAGGTCGGTGAGGATGAGATAAGCTTGTCCACTCTGGGACGAGTTTATACTATTGATTTTAATTCTATGCAGCAAATCAATGAGGACACGGGAACAGCACGTGCCATTCAGAGAAAACCTAACCCCTTAGCCAATACTAACACTAGTAAGTACCTTTTGAGTCCGAAAGAGCTCTGTATTGTCGCATGAGTATTATTTGCTGTAGTAAATAGTAATTGGTTCACTGAGTAACCTTTTATACTTAAGATAGGGGCATGTTGGTTAGTAGTTTTCAGATCATGTGTTTTAATTGATGAATAAGCCAATATTACTTAACTGATATCTTCTCCATGATTTTTTTTTTTTTACTTAACCGATATGCTCTGTCCTGTGACTCCAATCAGAATTGCCCCTGCAGTTTTTTAATCTGATCCTGTTATTTCTAACCTACCCATTAGATTGATTCTTCCCAACCTTTTATTTTACACTTTCCCGCCCAAATTCTCATAACTAGTGAAAAATGGATTACATTGATTTTATTTTTTTCCTTCAGATTTCTGACATCTATCCCTCCCCTCGGGGATTTAGTCCATTGCTTTTGCAACTCTAGTCCAGAACAGGCATCAGCAAAATAGTAGATATTTTAGACTTTTGGGCCGTGTGGTCACCGTGCTCAGCATTGCTGTTGTAGCCTGAAAGCAACCATAGACAATAGGTAAACAAATGTGCATGGTGGTGCTCCATTAAAATCTCATTTCTAAAAACAGGTAATGGGCTGGATTTGGCCCTTAGGCCTCAATTTACTGTCACTTGGCTTAGCACTCTGGTGGCGAAGTGGTTAAAGAGCTCGACTGCTAACCAAGAAATCAGCAGTTGGAATCTACCAGCCACTCCTTGGAAACCCTGTGGGGCAGTTCTCCTCTGTCCCATGGGGTCACAATGGGTTTAGTTTGGTTTTGGTTTAGAGCTTACTTTTTATCAGTTACGTTTTCTCTGTCCCTTATTCCTTCTAAGCAAAGTGGCAGAATCAGCCTGTACTTTACATAGCTTCTAGCCCACTAATCACTGTGCATTTCTTGAACTCTCCTTATTCCTTACCCCAGTGGTTTAGTGGTCAGTACTGACATCCATTTCCCCCACACTTAGAGGTATTTGTAAAATAGGTGCAGTGTCGTGACACTTTGTTAACGTCAGCAGGGCAGAGCGGTCAATGGTTTTATGGCTGACCAAATTTTGATTTACTGCCTTTAGCATTTTTGTAAACCCTCATCGATCACATACGATAAGTTCATTTGTATTTTAACCGAAAAAATTTATAGCGTTTAAGAAAATTACATTGGCTTGAATGCTTTATGTAGTTTATTTTCTTGAGATTCTGAAGTCGGTCGTTCTGTCAGGAGTCTTCATTTTCTATTACAGGTGGATATTCAGAGTTAAAGAAGGATGATGCTCGAGCACAGCTTATGAAAGAGGATCCGGAACTGGCTAAGTCTTTTATTAAGACCTTATTTGGTGTTCTTTATGAAGTGTATAGTTCCTCAGCAGGACCTGCGGTCAGACATAAGTGCCTTAGAGCAATTCTTAGGATAATTTATTTTGCGGATGCTGAACTTCTGAAGGATGTCCTGAAAAATCATGCTGTTTCAAGGTGTGTTCATGAAAATTGTCATAATATTTTAGAAATTCAAGCCTCTGCAAGTAATTTCAGAAACTTCTAAAGTTATAGAAAAACACATACAAAACAGTTCGTTTGGAGTATATTGAGGCTTTTTTGTCTATTTATAGTCAAACACAGCTTTAATAAACAATAAAATGAATATAAAAGAGCATTTAAGAAAAATCTTTGTTTTGATGGAGTGGGTTCACAAAATATTTTGCTCTCAAAGTTAAAGTAGTATGGCCAGAAACAGTTAACAAATTCAGACAAAGTGTTCTATACAAATGCTTTCTTTTTTTAGTCACATTGCTTCCATGCTATCAAGCCAAGACCTGAAGATTGTAGTTGGAGCACTTCAGATGGCAGAAATCTTAATGCAGAAGTTACCTGATATTTTTAGTGTTTACTTCAGAAGAGAAGGTAATATCGTTCATGATCATACATTAATGGTCAGGGTTTTAGTCTAAATAGTACTTCAATAGATGTGTGAGTAGTTTTATCTGTGGAACAAAAAGTAAACTTATCTTTTATGTAAGACAAGACATTTACATGCTTATAGCTCCCGTGCTTATAGAGAGAGTGTCTTTTAATCTGTTAATACAGGTTGTGAAATTCAGTATCAGTTGATAAATACTTAGTAAGTTCCAGTGATTTGAGTTCTTATGGGCCAGAGAAGAATCATTAACTTTTTTATACCTAATACGTGATGCCATGAAGATGCCTTGAAAAAATCAGACGTAGCTTTCTATCCAAATGATCATATCGGTAGATAGACCATTTCTAATGATAAAGTGATTATTGTGTACTTCATCGTGTAGATAATAGAATTTCTAACCTGAGGCGTTTGAACTGGAAATCAACCAAAGAGACCTGGTGCTTCTCCATTCCCTTCTCGAAGACCTCAAAGATGAAGCTGTATAGCTCATTCAGGGGCTCTATCCTTTTAAAGCCTGTTTTAAGATATTTACCTGATTGGTAACACATTCTTTCTCTTCAACAGAAGTCTTTTCTTGGCTCTTTGGTCTTTGGGGCTGCTTCGGCCTTCTGAGGATAAAGGAAATAATGTTGTTTCCCCTTCAACTGGTCTTTAGTTTTATCTTCCATCTTATAAACAATCCTAGTTCACTTTTGCATATGATCTACTGTCCATTCTTTTGTTGTTGTTGTTTTAATTTTATGGTGCTGTAGGTGAAAGTTTACAGCGCAAATTAGTTTCTCATAAAATTTATACACAACTTGTTTTGTAACAGTGGTTGCAGTCCCTCCCCATCTCCACTCTGGGTTCCCCATGTCCATTCATCCAGTTTTCTGTCCGTTCCTGCCTTCTCATCTTTGCTTTTGGGCAGGTGTTGCCCATCTGGTCTCGTAGACTTGATTGAACTAAGAAGCGTGTTCCTCATGTGTGTTATTGTTTGTTTTTCAGACCTGTCTGATCTTTGGCTGAAAGGTGGCTTCAGTTTTGAGTTAGCAGGATTTGGATGAGAGGGCATAGCTTTGGGGTACTTTCTATTCTTTTGATAACCTTTTCTTACGATGGATTCCTATCTTCACATCTTAAAAATACAATGAACATGCTAATGTAATTGTATTGAACAAAATAGGAAAAGGCTTTTCACCATTTAAAATCAGTTTTGTTTAAATAACAATGGGTTTTTTTAAAAAACCCAACAGTACATTTTTATATGAGATAGAAAGCAAAATTTTCCATTTTTCGGAGATAAACTACTGATAACAAATCAACTGCACATACAAATAAATGTTTTCTGTGCTTATATAAACATTTGGTGTGTGTTCTTATCTTTATTCTCAGATTATCTTATATTTTGCATTCTATATTTTGTTTTTGGTGTTCTGTTCTTTTTGTTTGCTTTTAAATGTTCCACCTTTCTGGTTTGGAAGTATATCAGAATCCATCTTTTTTCTCAAGGTAAATTTTTTTTCTTCACTTTCACTTGATTAACTATGCCGTCAAATTGGATTTCCCATGCCCAACTATTTCTATAGCACACACATTATGAAGCTTATGGAGCAGTCTTGATTGGTTCTGCTGCTTTGCATCTGTCCAGGTCCTGCTGTTTTTTCAGGTTCAGCTTAAATGCCTCTTCCTGCAGATCTTTCCTTCCTTCTGGAGTAGGTTACGTCCTCCCACCGTATGCTCTGCCTGCACTGCATTTTCTCTCTGACAGCGAATCACTTTTGTAATTTCTTCTAAAAGATATCTTTCCCTCTAGTCTGTAAGTGCCGTGAGTGCATTTGCCTTGTTCATGGCTGTATCCTTAGTCCCAAGCACACAGTCTGGCGGATAATTATATCAGAGTTTGAATTCATTCTGACATCTTTTTAGCAGTTCGTTCTTTTTTTTTTTTGAAGAATCTGATAAAAGTCCTGGACTATTCCCCAGGGGGAAAAAATGTGCGGGCATGATGAAAGTTCACTCACATACAGTCCCCCGCTCAGATTTGCATATAGTTTACATAGACAGACACACCCCTTCGACCTGGGCAGTTTGATAGTTCTTAGATACACTTCCTCCTTTACAAACCCTCCCCCCACCATCCCTGGATCCCAGTCCGTGTAAGAACACCTGCCTTACACGTTTCTCCTTAGCTCTCCTTACACACCTCCAACAATGGGAAAATCGCCACTTCTTGGCGAAAGCGTGCATTCCCTTTTTTTTGGAGGCAGCTTTATTGTGATCTTGCCTCATTGTGATGCTTGAAGTTCACCAGTAATCCCAGTTCTTTGCCACCCACTCACTCCCAAAATGTTATCAAGCCAGAGCTTTACTATATTTCTGTAATTCATATATTGTTCTTATATGGGCATTTTGAATTTCAGGTAGGACTTCACTTGTAATCTTATTAAACATATTTCTGGTTTTGAAGATTAGAAGACATTCTATATAAATATCTTAATTTTGAATTTTCTTACTGTTTTTCTGGTTGGAGGCAAGTCAGGAATCTGGCTTCTAGATGTTTTTGTCCGTTTGCCTGCTATTTTTCCGTCATTCTGTATGTGTCAGTGTTGGCGTTCAGGCATTTGCTGTGTGGGTGGCGGGCGTGGTGAAAACTGGCTCTTTTCGTCTGTTACTGTGAAGGTGTGATGCATCAAGTGAAACACCTAGCCGAGTCCGAGTCTCTGTTGACGAGCCCACCAAAGGCTTGTACAAACGGCTCCGGGACCCTGGGGTCCACAACGTCAGTCAGCAGCGGAACAGCCACGGCTGCCACTAATGCGGCAGCTGACTTGGGGTCCCCCAGCTTGCAGCACAGCCGAGACGATTCTTTAGATCTGAGCCCTCAAGGGTAAGTTGGAGTTTTGCTTTAATTTTGTGCTTTTTGCCTTTATCTCTGCCTTGATACTTGAGACTGGTGGTAAAATATTAGAGAGTACATTTTATATTTTTCAATCTATATTTTATTGGATGTTTAATGGGAATGAGAAGAAAACCTAACCTTCGCTGAAAACCTACTATGTTAGCCTACTTGCAGCAACCGCAGGAGATGCATGGTATTCCCATCTGACAAACAAGGGAACTAAGGCTCAGAGACAGTAAATGACTTGCACGGTATCACACACTCACCTAACAATTGTAGGGTTTAAGCTTCAGTTTCTGATTCCAGAATCCTGCAGTTCTTTACTGTATTGCCATATACGGGTCAGCTTCAAGATTCTCGGATTTTGACATAGTGAGAAGTAATAAAACTAGAACTTTTAGAGTGTGAAGAAAAATAAAAATGTAGCAATTTCCCATTTCTGCTTAATGGGCAAATGGGAGCAAATGCATTGCCCTTAATAAAGGAAAATGGGAGATGTCTCTTCTCTCCTTTCACCTCACTCTCAGCTTTTTTTTTTTTTTTAATTGTTATAATTAAATGAAGTTTACATTTCAAGTTAGTCTCCCATACAAAATTTTTTTACATACATTGTTAAGAGACCCTAATTGCTCACCCCATTCTGCGACAGCACACTCCTCCTTTCTGCCCCTGGTTCCCCATGACCGATCAACGAGCTCCTAACCCTCTCTGCCTTCCCATCTCACCTCTGGACAGAAGCTGCCCCTTTGGTCTCTTGTATCTACTTGACTAAGAGGCACACTCTTCAGCTTTTAATCCCTTGGTACTGTGCTACTGGAATGTAACCAGATCTTCATATTGGTTTTCAGTTCATTGTGTTAGAAGCAAACCTCACTTAGTGTTTTTATTTCTTTGACATTAGAAACTTAATATTGCTATATGTACGGTACATGATGAACCAAGCTCACTTCTGAAATTCAGAATGTACTCAGTGGGATACTCTTTTTTTTCTTCCTTCTAAGCTGAAAAGTAGATGTTGGCAAAACATAGTAATATCCAATAAGTAGGCTCCGGCATTTTCATTCTCACAAACTGCAGGGTAGCATTGTCCTGTAGAGCAGCCTGCTGGGGATCCTGATGTATCAACTGAATCTTCCCAGGTCTCAGCTGCTTTGGGGGCCACCTGGTGGCAGTGGTTCACTCTGGCTTGAATAGGAATTTTGGCAGTTGTGCGACTTGTGACTGGCTGGGACTTCTGGCACAGTGGCTGTTACTTCAGGAAGCTGCTGGGTTTGTGTCATTAGCCCAGTGCAAGGAGACTGGGCCTGGAGAATAGCAGGGACTCTGGGACCCACTCTCCCCTTTCCCAATTCTGAAGTTGGACTTGTCTGCCCTTTCCCTCCCAGCCTTGCCTGCCCCTCAGCTTCCTCTCCAGCCCCACTCCCACCCTCACCCCAGGCCACTGCAGTACCCTTAAGTTGTTGCAGGGTTTTGCTCTAGAGTGTAGAGTCACTCTAACCCTCATGAGAGCAGGGACTGGATTTGATGGTTAACCTGTCTCTGAGCGTGGTACACAACGTAAGCCTGAGAGATCGTAGTGCTTAGAGAATTCCAGTGTGTGGGGCACCTCAGACAAATGTAGTGCTGTTGAGCCACTTTAAATTAAGGAACTAGAGTTGATGGTAGATTCTAACACTTGATAACCCCAAAGGAAGAGGAAAGAACCTTTTCTCCTTAAAATATTTTTAGTTTTAAGTAGTTTCATATACCTTATAATATGGTTGCCAATGAAAACTTCACGTTAATGCTATTTGTAAAGGGAAAATTGTTTAGTCAGATTTAAGTTCATCCTTTGAAGTTTCATTTGCCCTGATTGTCAAACATAGCTGTACATATGGCTTTCCATACAAATGTCAGATGTTGGAGATAGGATGTTTTTCAAAATTTTTGCAAATTTCGGCAACAGACCAACTGCACCAAAAAATTTTTCCTCTTTTCTATCTTATGTAGCTTTGTCATTCTAAGAATCTATTGAGACTTCAAACTTTATTTCTAATGTTTTCCTAAGAATAGTGAAAATAGCATACAAAGGTGAAGTATGTTATTTCATATATGGTTATTATTCAAAGTATGTTATTCCCACTGTCACTCACTAGATTTATTTATAGGTAATTTTTGGTTTAAAAACAAAGCCCCTGTAATGCTCATAGTGCCTGCCAGCACCATATCATGCAGTTACTGTGGTAATAATTACTTCGAACCGGTTTGTTCTGGTTCGAACTCCTGCTGAGAATTTGCATTTCTAACAAGTTCCCAGGTGATGCTAATGCTGCTGGTTAGGGATCACTTCTGAGAAGCACTAGTAAGAGCAGTGGTTCTCAAAATTTATTATACATAAGAATCACCTGGGGATCTTGTTAAACTATAAATTTTGATTCAGTATCTCTGGGGTGAAAATGCAAATTCTCAACAGGGTTTCAAACCGGAATGAACTGGTTTGAAGCCCTGGGTGTAATTATTATTATAAGCAGTTAAGAACATGTTTTAACAATATTAGCACTGATGCATGTATATTTTACTTGTTGCCCTTTAGGTCAGAGAAGAAGTATGGTATTCAGATTTAGCATATTATCCTTTTTTTGGCTGATGGTTACTCACTTCTTTTTGTATTAATTCTTTATGGTATATATTTATTTACCTTTCTGTCTTTTATTATAAAGTTTAAAGCATGCAGGATTAATCAGAGATACTCTCTATTTGGTCTTATTCCCAGTAGATCAACACAGTAAAACAGCTCGTTGTTTTCTGACCTACCCTTTTCTGTGTCTCTGTACTTCTAGAACATGACTAGCCCAGAGTTAGCACCAAACAGTCACTAATGAAAAATTCCCTGTTACAGAAGTATTTTCTAACTCATTGTTCCGGCTATTTTAACTTGCTTTTCAGTGAGTAATGATCATAGTGCAGTAATAATTGCTAAACTTACACATTTTTTCACATGTGATAGTCGATTAAGTGATGTCCTGAAGAGAAAACGGCTGCCAAAACGAGGGCCAAGAAGGCCAAAGTATTCACCTCCCAGAGATGACGACAAAGTAGACAATCAAGGTAATTCCTGCGATGAAACCATGGAGTCGGGAGGGGGTTAAAGGGGAAGAAGAGAGCGGTTACAGATGTGGGCTTCGTTACAACCGCTGCTAACAGCTACTGAAATATGCCTGAGTTTCCTGCATACCCAGTGTTCTTAGTTTTTTCAAGTAATTAATCTATTAATGGAAATCTTAAAAATTCAGTTGGTTTTCATCATGTATGCTAAAACAATTTAACTGCCATTTTCTTTTCTTTTTGTAGCTAAAAGCCCCACCACTACTCAGTCACCTAAATCTTCTTTCCTGGCAAGCTTGAATCCAAAAACTTGGGGAAGGTTAAGCGCACAGTCCAACAGCAACAACATTGAACCAGCACGCACTGCAGGCGTTAGTGGTCTTGCCAGGGCTGCCTCAAAGGACACCATTTCCAATAATAGGTGAAGTGGGGGAATTCGATATTCTCTTATCGCCAGATCAGAAAAAGTAACATTACTTCAGTTAGCACCTTCATTGTATGGAGATGAGACATGAATTTAGAACTTTAATTTCTGCTCAGCAGTGGAAGAGCTCAAAGATAAGATGGATTCTTAGTTCTTGAACCCTTTTGTTGTTGGGTGCTGTCAAGTCGATTTTGACTTGTAACGACTCCACGTGACAGAATAGAACTGTCCCATAGGGGTTTCAAGGCTGTAATTTCATGGAAGCAGATCACCAGGTCTTTCTCTCACAGAGCCACTGGGTGGGTTCGAACCGCCATCCTTTTCATTAGCAGCTGAACACTTAACCGTTGCGCCACCAGGGCTCCTTGTGGCTTTTTCCTCTTAAATTCCTGTCTCAGATTTAAAATTCTTTGGACTGTCTCTAGCTATAGGTCATATAGTTCAAAACCAAACAAATTATAATTCCTCTGGTACCTACCTGTTCTGAGTTTTGTTCTCGACAAAGGAAAGCTGCCGTATTTTCTGTTCACACATTTTTATGATAAGCTCCTCTACCCATTGCAATGGAACTTAGGGTTTTGGAGTAGAACTGTTTTTTAGACTTGGAACTCTGTGACTAAACTGCCTCACACTCATATACAGTTTTTAAAAGAGTATTTCCTTTAAAATCCTTGAGAGTTGTTGTATATTTTTGCTTTTTTTGCTCTAGACGTAGCATACCAACAAGAATTATTCCCTGTGCAAATAAGTAATTGAAAACAATCAACAGATGTCTTTGGGAAAATAGACAGAATTTTGGGGTTGGATTGGTTGGTTGGTGTTTTTCTGAATTGCATTTAATAAAAACAGGCAAATGTGTTTCTGCAGCCACTGGGATTTGTAATTTAGACAGCCGGTCCTCATTTATCTTAGCTTGTCAATGTTAAGTTCCTGTTTCTGGTCAATAGAGCTTTATTTCCACTCTTTTGAGAACAGTAAGGGACAGCATAGGTATGTCTGTACTTTAGAAAACATCCATGTAAAGTGACTTCCAGGTGAATGCTTAGGAAACTTATACTGTGGGGTCCCAAGAAGTTAGAACGTTTTGTTTCCTATTGGTGTAATGAGCTGCGATGTATCTTAAGTACCTGAGCATTTCTCAGGGCACATCTTAGCCCCTATTTTCAAAGTGAAACTTAGTTTGGTTGATATGGAATCTGAATGCATGTAATCTGTATAGCCTATGTAGATCTGTATCGGCCCCAAAGCGTTTTAGATATAGCACATATTTGCCTTGCATCAGAAGGTATAGTTGAGATCCTTTCTCTGTACACTGAGACTTCATTATCTCCTTTTTCCTTCTTGCAGAGAAAAAATTAAAGGCTGGATTAAGGAGCAGGCACATAAATTTGTAGAGCGTTATTTCAGTTCTGAGAATATGGATGGGAGCAATCCTGCGCTGAACGTCCTGCAGAGACTTTGTGCTGCAACTGAACAACTCAACCTCCAGGTACCGTGTCTGGCGCGGCCTGCTGTTCCTTTTCAGTTCTTCTGTCTTCTCTTTATAACAGAGATGTCAAGGTTTCCTCTTCTGTCATCTCTTCAGTCTCAAGATTCCTTTCCCTGAGGACGCTAAAGCTGTCCATGGATTTGACTCTCATAGATCGACTGTTTTTCCCAAACATGTACTGTTAGCGTGGGCATTTCTTGAATTCGTCCCTTGACTGTCATGGTTCATAATAGTATTAAATGTGCTAGAAATCTCATCTTCAACTTTCTCCTTCACATCCCAATTCCTGGCAAATGAAGAGACTCCAGAAATGGCCCTGTAGCATATCTCCTCTTTTCTAAGTCCTTTTCAGCTATAGTTGTGACAGTTGATAGCACTGTCTTTCAGCCCTCTCCGCCTGGGGCCTGATGGTAGTCAGGAGGGTAGAGGGTAGACGCTTAATGATAGCCTTTTAAATTTCATCTGCTAGTTAGTTTGTTTACGTTTTTGATGTACTTTAAATAATATTTTAAATAATTTTGAGAGTGCTTGTTTTCAAAGAAAATTGCCTATTTCATCTCGATTTTCAGTTTATTAGTTTAAAGCCACACCTTGTATTCTTGTTTTACCTTTTCATTCTGATCTTATAGCTCCTTTCTTATTTTCACATTATATTCTCACCCTGTCTTTTTTTTTTTAAGAAACCTCTGTTGGTTGAATGTGAATATTTTTCTTTATTATGTTAGTATGAATACTATTTTCCCCCTTGAAATATCTAATGCTGTTTGTATGTAAGACTGTATTTTCCAAGGATCTACTAAGAATACACCACTCTCCATCCTCGTTTTGAAAAGGCCTCAGGAGAGTTTTCAGTTCCTTGTGGGGAAACATGAATTGTGCATTTTGTAAGTGCTGTTTAAATCAGTATACAAATACTGTTCCAACTCTTTCAGGTGGATGGTGGAGCTGAGTGCCTTGTAGAAATCCGTAGCATAGTCTCAGAGTCAGATGTCTCATCATTTGAAATCCAACATAGTGGATTTGTGAAGCAGCTGTTGCTTTATTTGACATCTAAAAGTGAAAAGGATGCTGTGAGCAGAGAGATCAGATTAAAGAGATTCCTTCATGTATTTTTTGCTTCTCCAGTAAGTTGTGTGATCATGCTTCTTCGTCTTATTATAAGAATCACTGTTCACTAATGTGTATATTCTCATCCCACTGATAATTTCCAGTAGCTGTTGGTCAGGATTTGAGGGAATGTTTCCAGCTTGCATATACACAGTTGGATTCCTTGCATTATCATAAAGTAACACAGCAAAACGGTGACTTAATGAAGCCCATCCCACAGTATTTATGGTTGAATTATCTGAGTCTTTTTTTCTCCCACAAGACATGCCATTAATAGTAGTCCCTCACCTGTTGAATGAATTTTATTCTGAATGTTTGTTTTTAAACATGTTGCACTTTGCAATATATTTTTAGGGGAGGTAAAGTAGACATAGCATAGCTATAGATATAAGATAGAGTAGACATAAGTATTTCTGTTTTGTTCATAAAACACAAGGACAGAAACAACAGAATGGCTCCCCTTCCCTCACCCACAGTGGGTAAGAACAAGAGGGTAGCTACTCTTGGCTACCAGTGACTTAGCAACGTTCTGCTTGTTTACAGATGCTTAAGAGAAGGTATCCCAAAGGAGGTTTCTCTCTGGATTATCTCTGTAATAGGGCGAAGGGTAACTCTCCTGTGTAGTAGCAAAACTACTTCCCTAAGACCTCCAGTGTTGTAGGCATTTCAGAACTGCTTGTACTCTTTTAAGTTATGGAGTCACACAAAGCAGAGTTAGTTATTGAAGATTCACTGGATTAGTGACAGCCTTGGGTATAGTTTTATACCACACTTAAGATTATGTGCAGGTCTGTAATCTCTTATCCGAAACTCTTAGGGCTGGATGTGTTTCAAGACTTCTGAAATACACTATATATCCTATATATTACCAAATATCCTCAGTATATTCTGAGCAGCACTCCACGTCATACGTATTAAATACTTCTGCAGCAGAACATGTGAGCATTCTTACTAAAACCAGATAATGAAGACTGTAAAGAGCTTCATGTCTGAGTCAAGCTTTGCCATCAGATGAGCTGTGTTTTCAGAACTTAAGGATTTTGAAATTGTAAACAGGGGTTGTAGACCTGTACAAAAAGTGTCTTTATTAAAATAATTTATTCGCAAACATTGTTCCAACCAAAGCCGTCATATGAGATTAAAGAAGATAGACGAATGATTCCCTTTTGTAAAGCCACACCTATTAAATTTTCTTGTTGAGAAGTGTTTCGTTTTTGACAGGCTCCGTGTAACTTCTTGGTTTATTTATAACTTTAGCTTCCTGGAGAAGAGCCCATTGGAAGAGTAGAGCCGATGGGGAATGCACCTTTGTTGGCATTGGTTCACAAGATGAACAACTGCCTCAGCCAGATGGAACAGTTTCCAGTCAAAGTTCATGATTTCCCCAGTGGAAATGGGACAGGAGGCAGGTAAGGATCATGGCCTGGGTATTCCCTTGCCTCTGGAATCTGGTGCTTAATATTTTTGAGATAAAGTGGCAAGAAATCTAGGAAAGTCTTGGCCTGAAGAACAGTCAGTTGTTGGGACTGAAGAAATTGAGTACTCTGAAGAGTGAACCAAATACAGTCTTAAACATGTTGTTTTAAAAATATACAACCCCGTGACTGCATTAGCAATTTGTAATAGGCGTAGTTTTTCTCCAATTCATATTCTTTATTATATAAAGCTTCTTCAGGAATTCTATGGGAGGGAGGGTGAGGGTTATTTACTAACTAGGTAGTAGATAAGAATTATCTTAGGCAAAAGGAAGGACAGCACACCCTACAGGGGAAGTCAGCACAACTGGACTAAACCAAAGCTAAGAAGTTTCCTGAATACAATCAAACACTTTGAG